GTAGCCTGGGCCCATGACATATAGGGTTTTAAAGGTGATAACCAACCCCTGGAATTGCACCCGGAAGCAAACCGGTACCCAGTGCAGCTCACGGATCAAAGGTGTTATATGGGTCCTTCTTCAGGCCCCAAAAATTGCTTGTGTGGCTGCATTCTGGACCAGCTGAAGCTTCCGGATACTCTTCAAGGGTAGCCCCATGTAGAGCACATTACAGTAGTCTATATAATGTTGTGTACTTTTTAAATTACAAATTGGCCAAGAGGTGTGTGAGAATCAGGGTCGGATTAAGAACAACTGATGCCCTAAGCGTAATCCAACAATGGTGCCCCTCAGCCCTTCCCTTGCTCAATTGACAAGACATTAAGATTTAATAAGTGCTGAAGATGAAATAAGAGATTAAAAATTCAGTTTTCTTCCAGGCCATCCCCCAGGTCAGACCCCACAACTATATTAACTATAAACTTTAAAACATGTTTAACATGAAATAGAGGTAAGCAATGTAAGAAAATCATTTACTTATAATTAGGGCAAGAGGAAAAAAAGCAATTTTTCAACATTTTTAATGCATTTTTTAAATGAAAGTGTTATAAGGGAAAAATGCAAATACAAACATTTATTGAGGACTAAAGCCAAGTGTGGCAGTGAAAGGGTTAATGGGTTGATAGAGGAAAAAACTCTGTCATGCCCCCCCCCCCTTTCCCTTGGTGCCCTAAGCACATGCTTACTTTGCTTAATCCAGGGTTAGAGAGAATGCCCTATGTTTTGTTCTATAATCCTGTTCCTCTGTAACTTCCCTGGCTTCCCCCACTTCAGCTGAAAACCCAAGAAAAGATATTCCTTTTTCACACTGAGACATACAGGCAGCCAGTAGGCTGGAGAATGATGGAAATATGGCTAATAGAAAAGAACAATGTCCGCTGCCACAGCTTCTCCCATCTCCAACAACAAAGTCAGCTCAAAAAGGCTAACGAGAGATTTGAAAGAAATCCTCCAGCACCCTGAGAAAAA